ATACTTAACGAAAATACATTTGTTTATAGTGTTTTGGAAAGGTCTCGAGATAAGCTACAAGAATATGCAATAAAAAGTAGGCAGTTCCATTTAAAAAAGTTAATGTGATTTCGATCTGACCTTGGCGACGCCATCCAAGGTCAAACTGATAAGATCAGTAAATAGATCTTTTGAAACCCTACAACTTTTATCTGAAACATTTTTTTCTAAAATGCTTAGTTTTCGAGATATTTCACCGGTCCGGGACTTTTTGAACACCCTGTATATTTAATTTCCAGTACTATCCATGTTAAGTAGAATACAAAATCATGCAGGAGCATTACAAGTACATGTATTCGTATTACTTACATAGCAAATATAATATAGATAAATATACACAACATACTGCGATTAGCCCCATATCTTTCGTAGTAAAATCAGAAGATAGAAGATTGATACACTTTTGTAATGAATTTTAGAACCACACCACTAGTTTCCAAGATGTCAGAAACCCTGCTTGCATACACAGTTTAAGCTGCGCAATACGTTTAGCGCCGCTTGATTTCAGCTGTCACGAATGACAGTTCGTTCGTGTGTTATGTTAAAAAGTTAATTTACGTAAGGGGTTAATTTACGGTGTTATATGCACGTTCTATTTATATTGTTTAATGTTGTTTGTGCCGTGATATTTTCAGAGAAGAAATAAGGATAATACATAAGATAAGTATCGTTGAATATAGGAAATCTCAAAAATGAAGAATTTGAATGGTATGTGTCGTTTTTAATTTTTGCAATTACAATTCCAATAGTTATGAAAAAGATAAGAGAAAGGAAGAAGAGAATAAGAAGAAGGATAGAGAGTGAGAATAGCAAATACAGCGCAGACAGATGGAGAAGAAGAAGAGATCGAGATAGAAAAACAGGAAGGATGTATAAATAAGTGAGCCAACATCCGTGCACCATTGCACACTTTTCTTTGAATCTCCAATTGAAAAAGTATAAAAAAAGTAGAGTGAGAGAGATAGAAACAAGAAATAAGGAGAGGTATAAATATTTGAAAGATATTTAAATATATATTGTATATGTATTAATGCATCGGCTTTGACATGAAGATATTATAAAAATATTTACCAAAGTATTTATAAAAGTAACTGACATATTTTTTACACAACAATATTTGATTAAATATTCACATTATAAGAGAAGGAAAGTATCGAAGAAGCAGGAGTGTGCAAAAATATAAAATAGGTACACGATTTCTGGTTTTTGACGTTATTAAATAAAGACAGTCATAACAAAGAGCCTTAAGATTATTAGAATGATTTTTACAACCTCTTAAGGCGGAATTACACTACCGGTTGCGGGCTCGGTTACGGTTGAGGTTACAGTTGGTTGTTGGAAACTAACCAATCATAGCAAAGTACCTCGCCGGTTAGATTGCGGGTTAATATTTAGAACCGAGTCTATTTTTAACCTTGCGGTTGTAACCGCAGCCAATAGAATTTGCGAGATAAATAATTTGTGGTTTGTTTTTTATTGCTACACTTACTAAACTGGTACAGTTACAAAGAACAGATTAAAGATAACGTATATTTCGCGTCTTTTATTTGTTGTAATAAAGTGAATTTGTGGATATCCCATTAAAAATGCCTCCAAAAATCGATATTTGGACTAATGAAGCTGAACAATTACTGATAGATTTAGTGGAAAGGAGGCCTATTTTGTGGGATATGACCCAGTATAATTACCGGAGGAATGACTTAAAAGAAATACAATGGGAAGAGATTAGTCGTGATATGGGTGTGTCATACA